CACGGCATCACGTAGTGCGCTGTTACGAGGTTGTGGTCATTTCGCTTACTTCTGTGAGATCACGTTGCAATCTCTGCACAGACATCATTCTGCACAGTGAAGGTCAAACATCCAAGTGAAGTAACAATAAACACATTTGTCAGTGGAGGGGGGCTTTGAAAATCAATGTATCCCAGAAAATCCTCCATAAATATATTGTGTTTACAGTTGACTAGTAGGTGTATGTGGCATGCTTTTCAAAAGAGCTACATTCAATAGGGGTAACAAAAACAATATTAGTACAGCAGACAAACATCCAATACCTTTTACTTCAATGCCCTCAGTCTCTATTCTAGGCTGATGTTACCCGACAAAAGAACTTAAAGCATGTGTTCATGAAAGGGTTTGAAATTTTAAAGGGTGTTCTCTGATCAATAATGAAAACAGTCTGACACTGTAGTGATTGTCGTGAGCCTCTACACTTGTATATGCTAGATAATGCCGTATTTAGATGATTGTACGCTGAAAACAAAGGGCGGCAGGGAAAACCACTGTATCGTCTTAACAGTGCTCTCGTAGAAAAAGGTGGATTGATTGCCTACAAGCAAAGCTTATGTTGTGATATGATTAACATGTGTGGGGGGGAAAACACAGGACCTATGTAGGTAGTCTAAATAACAACAAAAGGTCAGCGGGACTGTTTTCATTTGTGCTTGCCTATCCTCAGCATTACTTACCCTTTCCATGGGCATCAAATCTTGCATGAAAAAACTAACTTTTTCCCTTTGTCATTTGTGTGAGTTTAATGACGTTCTTTGTGACTACAAGGGAGGAAATGTTTTAAGGGGGCACCTGAAGAAAACCAACAGAGGATAAAATAATAAAACAGGATATAGGAAATAAGCTCGGAAGAAATCCTGGTTTCAGTGAGCAAGGAACTGGTCAACCATTAAAAGACTATTTCTGGTGTCCCACTGTTGAAGAATACACATCTGAAATGGTGAGAAATGAACCACCTGGCTATGTTCTTAATGGCTCCGATCGGATGTGAAAATACTGTTTTTCATTATGTTTCTCCAGAAGGCAGTTAATTGTTTGCAATCTAGCACTTATCAAGTGTGTGATTCAATGCAGGGAGTTTCAGAATACACTGTCATTATGAATATTAAAAGATTATGACAGAGTTTCTGGCTACATTTTGCACCCATTGCCGATCATAAACTGTTTGAGTTCAAGTATTTGTGAATTTCCCCTCCAGAAATGTTAAAAGACAAATACAAATATTCAACTTTAAAGACTATTTTATGTCTGGTATGGTTTCTCCACCCCAGATATTGCCAATAAACTAGTTTAAAAAATTTCTCTCATTAAGTCGAGAGTACGCAGATTTGTTTATATTTCAAAAGTTGCAAAACACTACACGTCTCCTTCTTTACTGAAGCATCAAATATAAAGTTTCAGGTTTCCTCATCACACTTGTGTAAGTTGCATATTGAACCAGGATTTGTTTTTTAAGATATTTGTGACATCACTCAATCATGCCTGTACACACACGTCCGATTTAAGGCAGCTGTACTCCGTCTTCAGCAGATGAATGTGAAAACAGCCTTCTAGTGTCAAACTACTGACTTCTGCACAGCAAGGGTCAAACAGTGAGTGAAACACATTTCTGAGTGAAGGGGGGTTACGTTATTTTAGCCTATAGCTCAAGATTTAGCAAACCGATTAGTAAAGCTGGCTTTTTTCATAAAAGAAATGGGCTGGTTTTGACAACAGTACTGATTGTCACACGTCTTCACAACTTCCCCGGGCGGTCAGTGCCTTTCATCTTTTACTGAGTGCTTAGAAAACACAGGTTCAATTCACAATTCCTCAGCAAGTGTTGAGGCCATTATTGTTTGTCCACTGCAAGGTCATCGTAAAACTCGGCAAATGACATGTGAGAAACTTAACATCTCTCCGATCTCGCAGCGTCGTATAAACTCCAGAGGGAATGCAGTAACGGTCAGGATGTAGTAAAATACTGAATAGTAACTCCCCATCAGTGAATATAGTCAATATATTGTCAGATACATGACCTGGTCAAGGACGCAGTATATGTTATGGTTTCTGTGCTCACTGCAACACGTGGACAGTTTTCTCAAACAAGACATGGCCGACATCGACCAGCACAGAATGATCACAATGGACCTCAGCAGCTGACAAACTATCACCACTTTAACAACAGGCAGAGAAAAGGCCGAGGATCTCTCTCTGTCCATACGGCTTATTGCTTTTTACAGAAGTACGAAGCAGCAACATAGATTTCTTTTCTTTCACCGTCTCCATTGATTGAGCACTCATTTTCACGTTCAATTAACTTATCCATTGTATTATCGTTATGTTTTTGTTATTTGAGATTGATTGTCTTATTGTTTCATTTTCAAAAAAAAGGTATGCCATGTGGCTGATGTGTCCATCTGGTTCCCACAACTGCACTTTTACAACCGCACGCGGTTTGGCTTGTTTAGATTGAACGTAGAAGAAACAGCGTATTCAAGCATAGTTTCTTATTGGGGCAATAAAGCGTCTAGACAGCACTCCCCTCTTTTTCACCTTCACCCAGTCCCTTAAAGGGCATTTGTTTATCTGAATATATTGGCTTGTCTTTGTCTCGCACTTATCAGCTGTGGCATTATATAACACATGCGGAGGCCTTCCACACTGAAATACAATGATGAAAGGTCCAAATCATGTATATATCGGCTCATTTAAATGATAGGTGTAGAGTTTTAAATTTGCATTCTCAGCAAATGTATGAATTACTCCTCCATGTACTATCACAAGTTGAGAGTCATAACTGAGAATGTGATTATTAATCTTTGGCGTTGGTATTTTTTGTTTACATTGTTTACTCTCTGAAAGTCACGGAGGAGCTCGTCACATACAGAATATTCTCCTCTCTCTTCTTCTTCTTGTCTCGTGTATAATATATTTGAATCCAAAAATACATTTTCCCACACTGCTATGATCTCAGCTGACCCCTCGGTTGCACACAGCTCGGTATGTCCTCAGTGTGTCACATTCCAAAAATACATTCCTGCCTGCATAAGGTAATGTGCGAACGAAGTACAAGTAAGGCGGTATACATGTCCTGCATACCTCATATATTCATGCTCTGAACATCTATGAATCTTAAAGTTGTGGTCTGGATTCTTATGTAAAGCCAAATCCGCACACATCCTGTGTTATCACTGAACATGTCGGGATCTTTACACTCACAGATTTTAGCGTTATCAGAAGATGTAATGTTGGGTTATTGATTAGTTGATAATCCATTCTGTTTTTCTACTATACCCGTCTAAACCACTTTAGTCACATTAAATCTGAAGGACACTCACAAAGATTTTCACATTGTGTGAATTCTCTTCAGTGATGTGTCGTGAACCTCCTGGAATGTTTTTGGCACATCAACAATACCCAAAAGGTGAATGTTAATGCAAAGCAGATATCTTCCTAATTTCACAACACAACTACAGTGTAGCCAGTACTACATCAGCCCCAATACCGTTGAAGATTGGGGTGACATTTGTCGTTTTGTCTGACATGATGCTTCAAAATCAACTCCAATGATAAGAGTATGTTTTTTCGGGCATTAGAGCTCAGCACGTTGACATGTAGGAAACACAGGACAAAGTATGTGACAAATTCAGCTTTACTAATAAATAATGCATCACTGCAAGTGGAAAAAATGCAAAACCCAGTGTGATTGCTTCTTTCTGTTTGCAGTAGCCTGAATATTCACAACATTTAAGTGATCTCTGTCTATAACACTAAAGGAAACATTTTTGGAGCAGTGGCATAAGTTACTGGGCACTGTTGTATATTTAAAAGTGGGGAAACAACTTCCATGCACAATAACAAACACCATAAACCATGTACTTTATTTCCATGTCTTGTTTGGTTCTTTAGTTTGTAATGTAAACATACTGTATGCCATAAATACTTCTGTATATAGCCTTAAAGAAGTGGTACAAACAGAGTTGATGTGTGTGTGTGTGTGTGTATCCTTCATTACTGTACACTCCTGAGATAAAACTGCTCTAACTTTTTTTACTGTATTTGGAAGAGTTTAGATGAACATTTATACCCTTTCTATTAATAAACAGCAACCCCATGATATTTGTTGGTAGAATATCCAAAGACATCTATAAATGCCCCTTGTGAGAAGATATCTATATATAACTGACCACCACATATGTCTACAGGAATATCATCAATACATAGTTTACTTCCACTTTAAAAGCACATATATTTTTACGAAACCTATTTCCTATATTATTTCATATTTTCTATTGTACATTTTTCCAATTTTATATCATGTTTGGCACTATGTTTATTGTTGTTTACTGCACCAATCACCAAGACAAATCCCTTATATGAGCAAACTAACTTGACAATAAAACTGTTTCTGACTCTTTATGTTTGCTGTGAACCCGTAGGAGAATAAAGACATACAATATAATAATATATATAATATATATAATATAATTTAAGTGTTGGGCATGAATTACTGCAACAAAAAAAACAGAAACTATATGCATTCAAGATTAAAAAATGTATGTATGAGAAAACTCACAGAGGATCTACTGGTTAATTAAATAAACACCACAAAGTACGTGAGGCATTTAATGTTGTTTTAATGTTTCCAGTTAAAAGTGCCACAGATTATTAACAGACCAGTTTCAGATGATGTTGTTTGGCTGATCTTTCGGTCGCTTGTGTGTATCCGTGACACACATTTATTTTTCTCAGGAACAAGGGAAAGAGCGATGAGTTGGGTGTTATTAACCCTGCCTCCATCCTGCCGTCCATCCACTAGCAGGGCTCCTCCCGCCCCCTCCCGGCACTCCGCTCCGCTCGTCGCTGGGGAGCGCATTTGAATAATGTGTGAGCACTTGGACTGGAGCCAATCAGCTGTCAGAGGACCGTGATAAATCGCAATGCATTATTGATAATAATAATTACGGGTGACATGCGCATTTCTACTTGAGGGGTTAATTTTCCCAAGCCGAAGAATTTGTTGGAGAAGGAGCGGAATATTGTTGGCAACTCTTTTGCTCCGGATGGTTGCACCATGTCGAGGCGCAAGCAAGCCAAACCGCAGCAGATCAACTCCGACGAGCCCGGTCCGTCCCAAAATGGTAAGTTTACACTAGATGTGAGAGAGTTGGCTACCTCAAAATGTGTCGAGTGGCTCCGCCATGCCATAATGCAAACTATCGACATTTTATCTCCCAGTTGGGGGCGGGGGGCAGCCTTTTACACTTTGACCTGTTGCTGTCCGTTTGAATTGACCAGGAGTAAAACTTAACCCCAGTCATGGCAGGCGACACATTTGGAAATATATATATATATATATATATATATATATATTTAAACAAAATACAGGTGTTGCACAAGGAGGGGTTTAAAAAACGAAGACACTAACGTTCAGCTTTTACTTGGTTTACATGAAGTTATCATTTGGCCTGTGTGTTGCTTATCTACTTATTTGGTATTTAACTAATTCATCAATTTCATCATAAATCGATTACTTGTCGAGTGGCTCTTTTTTTTTTTAATTGGGCAAAATTGAAGTCTGCGACTCTGTTTGAACTTTTTTTTTTTTTTGTCTTCATTGAAGCATATGTTGCTACCTGTTGGTTTCTGGATACTTTGTAGGAAGTCGTGTGGCAAAGAATGAGCCTGGTCAGGATATCCGTTGTGTATCCTCTTTGTTTTTTTTTGTTTTTTTTTCTCCTTTTTAAAATATCATTCTGATATCACCAACTGGTCTCATTCATCACGTAACAGCACTTTTAATCGGAGTAAATATTAATAGTAGGCTACTTTTCAAATCTCTTTAAAGGGGTAGCCTGTCGCTACTGTTGCCATTGTTTGAGTTCTAAATTGAATGATTAACAACTTTTTAATTTGTCATGTCGCTGTCTGTAATCTAACTATTTGCATATTTGGTCATTTCTCCTACAATTATGCTGGAATTTGTTTGTAAGTGCGCGCCTATGTTGAGGTTTTAAACAAAGATGCATACAAAACGAATGAATGAAATGTGACTCTGGAGTAAGCTGGGCTAAAGGCAATAAATCCCCCAGTTTAATGCATGACTGTTTCCTTTCGTACATATGTGGGGGATGGAGCAGTGGCTTTTTTTTTTTTTTTTTTTTTTTTTTTTGGTGGAGACTGGGTGGGGGTGCGTTTTGGTGTTGCCATATGCAAACTCCCGAAACTGCTGGCGCAGACCTCACCTTATAATTAGGAAACCTTGTTAACACGGTGTTAGGAGAGCCGCGGCACAGTATTATTATTATATATATTTTTTTTTACCTCAACACCGTTGTTCGACGAACTATTAAACATTTCGTGAATTGCACAGGATCATGTATTGAATGTTTAAGTCTGACCTCGTGTCATGTACCCAACCAAAGGTGATCTGTACAGGTCATGCGCCGTCAAGTGGTAAACTACAGCGTTGCCCCCTTATTATTATTTAACTTTTATAATGCACAGCTTGTGATTTTATTGGAAAGAATAGTAGTTTGAATATTTCCTCAGTTCCACCATCTGTGTATTGTTCCTATCGAAGTTAATTATGTTATGAGTGACTATACGCTAGAGAGCAAATGAGCCCTGCCTACTGTTTTACTCACAAACCAGAGTGTAATGCAGTTAAACAACTTCTTTTTTTTTTTGTGTGACTCAGGCTTCAATACCTCCTGGTGAGCAATTAACAAGTCCAACAGTTTCCTTGGGCAAATGCAAACAGGTGGTCTACCCCCTTTTCTCAGGGGCATTAGCATTTAACAATACACCCAGTTGTGAAATGGCCTCTTGGTTAGCAGATAAATTAAAAAGCTCACTTGGAGCACTTATCAGGCTTTCACAGGCTGTGAAAATGCTTGAAGGTAATAAACATTAGATTGCCCATACATATTTATTTTTTCAGCCCATGTTTGCATAGTAAACTTAATCTTATAATTATATACCAACTGGGACATCAAATTCAGTTTATAGAAATTCATGCTCATCATAAATTTACATTTTTACTTGGTGTTTAGTTTGATAACGTTCACATGTTTTGTCCCCATATGTAGCACTGGAAACGGATCTGATTTTCAGCAAGTATTTGGTGGAGTGTTTCAGAAACGGTAATTTAATGCTCATGGGTCTTTTGTCTTATGGACATTGTTCTGGGTAATGTCAAAGGGAGATGATTGCCCTCTGCTGGCCCTGGAGGCACATTCAAAGTCCCTCACAGTGCAGTGACCCACAGGGTGTCGATAAAAGAAGAGGAGCGTCTTAAATGATCCGATGAATACACCGCTAAAGCCTAAAAACGCCACAGAATCAACTCTTTGTCACAATGGCAACCATTAAAACATTTTTCAATACCATAATTTTACTAATCTCAACAGATTACCAATAATACTGTTTTCTAAACTTGTCTTTTTTTATTGTAGCATAACTTTTATTTATTATTTTGATTGGTGAGATATTGTCATAACTATATGAAGTGCATTAATCAAAACCCTGTTTTCTCTCTTTCTTTTTCTTCTTTTTTTAGGGATTTCTCCCGGCGATGGGAAGGAATCTGCAAATGAAGGGAAGAGATTCCGAGTGGACGAGCCCAGGGTCTGCAACAAGTGTTGTGCCGAGTTCTTTGATGAAGCAGAATTTCTTGAACACGAGAAGAAATGCACCAAAAGTCAGCAAGTGGTCATCATGAAAGACGGAGATGGCAATGAAGTGCCTGAGGAATATTCTCAGGGATCTCCCGAAGGCCTTACCAGTGACCACGACGACAGCCAGTCCAGCAGCCATTCCCAATCGAACGTCAACACAGACCACCTGGAAAGAACGGAGGACGACTCGAGCATGAATGCAGAGGACTCGGGACAGCAGGATCACACGGAAATGCCTCTTAGCCCTGAGATGACTTTCCGCCCCCCACTGAAAATGCAAAATTCAAATGTCACTCTTGAAACCATGGCAGACACCAAAGTGGCGGTCTCCCAGCATTACTCAAACATTACATCTCTGACCTCATCGCAAGAGGTCCTGCAGTCCATCCCGATCATCTTGGAGAAGTTGGTGTTCCTCCAGCAGCAGCAGCTACAGCAAATCCAGCTCACAGAACAGATCCGAATCCAGGTAGCCACAATGACTCCACAGGGTCTCCAGGCATCGGTCGGGGACACGATGGACCCTTTGAAAGCCCTCGGTGCACATCTCTCTCAACAGCTGTCTGCTGCAGCGGCTCTGATAGGAAAAAGGACCGGCAGTCAGAGCCTTTCTGACCAGACCATGAAGCAAGGCAAACGACCGCTGACCGCTGGCATCCCTACCTCTCTACCCGGAGGACTGGAATCTATGACTCCTAAAACAGACATTTTGAAGGGCCTACCAGATCCAGCTAGCCGCTTACCAGCACAACTGCCACAGTCCCCAGGTGTCATGGGTTTCGCCAGCGCCTTCAATGGTACCCAGTCGGGGATCGAGTCCTCCAAAAAAGTGACGCCAAAGATGCTGAGCCCCCCGCCAGAATTAAAGAACGCAGACTCATTATACAAGCACAAGTGTAAGTACTGCGGGAAGAGCTTTGGCAACGACAGCGCTCTCCAGATTCACTTGCGCTCTCACACCGGTGAGAGGCCCTTCAAGTGTAACATTTGCGGAAACCGCTTCACAACCAAAGGAAACCTCAAAGTGCATTTCCAGAGGCACAGGGACAAGTATCCTAACATTGGCATGAACCCACATCCTGTGCCAGAGCATCTTGACAACATCCCCACCAGCAGCGGCATTCCCTTTGGCATGTCTATGCCCATAGACGAGTCAAATATGACCGACGTTAAGCCTACGCTGGGTCATCCTGCTGCCGGCTTCCACCCGTCACCCGCACCAGGATTCAAGACGACGTTTGACAGCTTCGCAGGGGACCCATTTTCTCAGAGACCCTCCCCATCAACAAGTAATGGCTCCCCATCTGTTTCCTCTATTGTCATTGGCCAAGAAAGGGGAGTGGAACCCATTCTGAGGGATGCTAAAGAACTGCTTGGAGCGCTGCATCATATGACTGGCAATGCCCTCATGGGAGAACACAGCTCTGGAACCGCAAAACTTCAGCAGATGGTGGACGGCCTGGACAAGAGGACCAGGGACCCCAACGAGTGTGTGATCTGCCATCGAGTGCTCAGTTGTCAGAGCTCACTCAAAATGCATTACCGCACGCACACTGGCGAGAGGCCCTACAAGTGCAAAATCTGTGGCCGCGCGTTCTCCACCAAGGGTAACCTGAAGGCCCATTACGGGGTGCACAGGGCTAACACTCCGCTTAAAATGCAGCACTCATGTCCCATCTGCCAGAAGAAGTTCACCAATGCCGTGGTTCTGCAGCAGCACATTCGTATGCACATGGGCGGGCAGATCCCCAACACCCCGTTGCCAGAATCCCAGTTCGAAGGAGAGGAAGCGATGGAGTCCTCTCTGTCAGAGGAGCAGTCTATGGATATCAATGCATTTGAAGCGAGCTTGGAGGATCATGAGCCAGAGGTGAACTCCCAGAAGCCAAACGACGCCTCGGATTCCCTCCCACCCGCCTCTGAGGAACAGCCGCCGAAGCATGCCGCTCCCGCCAGTTTTTCCAGCCTTCACGTTTTGAAGAATCTCACCTCCGCTCTCGCACTGACACGACAGAGTAGCACCGCTTCGGAAAGCGAGGGAACATCCAAAGAATCTTCATTGGCTCCCAGAGAGCAGGAATATCAAAACGGCCGCAGTCCTGCCATTTCTGACTCTGCCATGTCGTTTCACTCCTCTTCCCCACTGAACGGCAACATGAGTATTGGCAAGTCTCCCGAGTCTGCTGTTGATGAATTTGCCCACGGTGTGACTAAACTAGAGTCTGATTTTGGTGCTCAAGGTGGCACCGAGTCCAGCGGGGCCCTTGACCTCACCGCTTCCAGCAGCTTCACCCCCAAAGCGATCAAAGAAGAGCCCGGCATGCCATTCACAAATGGAGATTATGGTGAGTTTATTAGGAAGACGTATATGACGCTGTCATGTTGGATGCGTTGATCTCATTTTCCACCTTCTTACTCAAAACAGTTCCCGGTAATATGACCTTCATGAGGATGCCGTCGAGTCTGGCCAGCCTGGAGATGAAGCTTCCTCCCGAGAATCCCATGGGCCCTCACGGTTTGTTCAGCTCCCACATGCCTCAGGGAACCGCCATGCCCTCCTCCATCTCCAGCACACCGCGACGATCATCCAAACAGCACGTGTGTCACGCCTGCAGCAAGAACTTCTCATCCGCCAGCGCCTTGCAGATCCACGAGCGCACTCATACAGGGGAGAAGCCTTTCGCCTGCAATGTCTGTGGCAGGGCTTTCACCACCAAGGGAAATCTGAAGGTACGTCATCGTTATTGTGCTGAATTGGCCATTTTTAAGCGTGTTCTTGGGGATAGTGTAACATCAAGTGTTTGTGGTGGGATGGTAATTAACAGTGTCTTGTCTTTTTTTTTAGGTGCATATCGGCACTCACATGTGGAACAACACGTCGCGGCGCGGCCAGCGCCTGTCCCTGGATAACCCTATGGCGCTGATGGCGATGAGCTCTGAGGCTAAGATGTTGCCAGAGATCCTGCAGGCCCCCAAAGAACTGGGGGTTCCACCAATTAACTTTGACCAGTCTCTGTGGAATCAGTACGCTTCCGCCTTTAGCGGGGGCCTCACCATGAAGAACAATGAAATTTCCGTCATCCAGGGAGGTGGCATCCCGCTCCCCGGGAGTCCTGCCGGTGGGCCTCTGATTGGATCCACCGGAGGCCTCATGAAGATGGATGGGTCCCACGCCGGCTTGCCCACCACCATGGCAGAAATTGAGAAGACCAGTTCTGACAGCGTGCCAAAATCTCAGTTCCCACATTTCATGGAGGAGGGTAAAATTGCAGTTAACTAGGTTTTTTTGTTTTTTTTTGTTTTTTTTACCACCTGAACTCAGTTTTTGAATGAGGTACAATCAATATTCGCAGAGAACCTTGTAGAATGTGCTTAGATTGTTTGAATTTTTTCCAGTAACTTCATCGCAGCTCTCTCTTCATTCTAAGTGTTATTTTTAGTTGAAATTGATATAACTACTGTAGTTGTATTTGATGTTTTACTTTATATAAATATATATGCGGGTATTTCTTTCTTTTTACCTTTTGTTCTGTTTTGCTGTCTATCCAGAAGTTTGGATGTCTAACTTACTTGAAACTGCTTTAATTCAGGCTGTCTGCTCGATACTTTTTCTTTTTTTTTTTTTTTGAAGGATTTTGACTTTAATAGGAAGTTTCAGGGCATGGCTTTTTTAAGGACACCCTGTCTCAGTGTTCAGAAATAATGGTGTAGTTAACGTGTGTCTCTAAAATGACTACTTTCCCTCCTATTGTGCCATAGGTTTTATGACGTTGTACATTTTTGTAGTGGCAAATGTCATTAGCATGTCTCATTGTGAAGGGGGGTTTTGATCCGACTGACGGATTATTCCGGTGTCTTGTCCATTAAATCAAGGTGCAACAGTTCACTCATCGGTTTTCGGATAATGTCGGTGACAAAATAGTCCATCATTGTTGCATCAGTGCTAAGATACAGTAGGTAATGACTCAGACCTCTTTGCCAAGTGCCTAAAATGAATTGTACAATGTTGCTGTTGTCTTTCACTGCACCATAAATTTGTTATGAAGGCTCTGTTAGACTGATGGATTAGTGTGTTGAACCGTATAACATTGTAGCATTGAAGTTCATGAAATCAATTTCTCCCCCCCCCCAAAAAACATATTCCACTTGTAAATCTGCAGATTCAAACTTAGTTGGCTGAGAGCTGAAGGCTATTATATGCTTAATGATCTCATGCCTGCACTTTATTTCAGGTTTGAGGACGTTTACATATTATAGTTCCACGTCAGTTTTTTATTGTGACGGCTGAACGGGGGAAAGGGCAAATCAACAATTTTGTAAACTTTCCCTTCCTGTCAGATTTTGTGTGAAACAACCAATCGTCAGAACTTTTTCTTTCTAGGTTATCGTATCGACTGTAGCGTCATTTATTTATAATTCACAAAATGCTTGAGTTTAGGGGGTGCGTTCTACCTCGTTTAGATTTTAGTTGTCCTCCTTGCCCCCGACGCTCAACGCAATGCTCTGTACATTTTCCGATACATTCTCGGGTATACGATTAGAGTTTCATCCTCAACCTGCTGAGTTGAACAGTAATGAATGTATCACTGGACACTTTGCACAACTCAGAATGGTCAGAGTACTTTGTAGGCCCCTGCTGTACATTCCTTATCGATACGCATTTGCCAAGTTGTGCCTTTCTTTAGCAAACCATGTCAAAACTGCTTTAAAGTTGGTCTCTGCAATTCAAGTGATGTTGAGCCTGTTTACAATGTAAATTGTTTTTTTGTTCTTCAAATGTTTCCTACACCTAAATATTTTCTGATTTTTGAAAAATAAAATCAGGGTGACTTTTTCAATATTTTCCCTGTCATTATTTCGCTGCTGACGTTACTGTTGCCAAACTGATTTGAGCTGAGAACAAAGGATGAAATGCATCTCCAACTGAGAACGTAGCCTAGCCACTGAAATATAGCCTAGCCCCACGCTAACTTCTACACCAGCACAGGCAAGTTTTCATGTACGTTAACCCCAATTTACATCAATTCACCTTCAGATGACTCTTAAGTATTATTTGCTGTTGTCACGAGCCATTAATCCCTTCCATTTTGCATCCTCCATGAATGACGATTTGCATCCACAACTGACTCCATCCATCCATCCATTTTCCTCCGCTTATCCGGGGTCGGGTCGCGGTGGCAGCAGGTCAAGCAGGCCGACCCAGACCTCCCTCTCACCGGCAACATGTTCCAGCTCATTCTGGGGGATCCCGAGGCGTTCCCAGGCCAGCTGGGAGATGTAATCTCTCCAGCGTGTTCTGGGTCTTCCCCGGGGTCTCTTCCCAGTTGGACGTGCCTGGAAAACCTCCAGTGGGAGGCGTCCAGGAGGCATCCTAATTAGATGCCCGAACCACCTCAGCTGACTCCTTTCGACACGAAGGAGTAGCGGCTCTACTCCAAGCTCCCTCCTGATGACTGAGCTCCTTACCCTATCTCTAAGGCTGAGTCCGGCCACCCTACGGAGGAAACTCATTTCGGCCGCTTGTAGCCGCGACCTTGTCCTTTCGGTCACGACCCAGAGTTCGTGACCATAGGTGAGGGTAGGAACGTAGACCGAGTGGTAAATTGAGAGCTTTGCCTTCCGGCTCAGCTCCCTCTTCACCAAGACGGTCCGGTGCAGCGCCTGCTTTACTGCTGCAGCTGCACCGATCCGTCTGTCGATCTCCCGCTCCATCTTACCCTCACTCGTGAACAAGACCCCGAGATACTTGAACTCCTTCGCTTGAGGTAGGCACTCCGTCCCCACCTGGAGGGAGCAATCCACCGGTTTCCGGCAGAGAACCATGGCCTCAGATTTGGAGGTGCTAACTCTCATCCCCGCCGCTTCACACTCGGCTGCAAACCGCCCCAGTGAATGCTGGAGGTCACAATCCGAGGAGGCTAACAGGACCACATCATCTGCAAATAGCAGAGAAGCGATCCCGAGACCCCCGAGACTGACGTTCTCCGCCCCCAGGCTGCGCCTAGATATCCTGTCCATGAAAATCACAAACAGGAACAAAACAACCCCTATGATAGTTAGCCCACGGACTACAGCCACCTCGCCCGGACCAGGGAAACCGGGGCACCCTCCCGGAGCCAGACCCAGGAGGGGAGCTCGTAGGCGAGCGTCTGGTGGCCGGGCCTTTGCCCATGGAGCCCGGTCGGGCTCAGCCCGAATAAACACCATGGAGCAGCCACCCTGTGGACCCACCACCCGCAGGGACAAGCATCGGGGTCGGGTGCTATGCAGACCAGGCGGCGGGTCGGACGGGAGGCCCGGGCATGCCGATCACCGGCGGCATAGACTAGCTCTAGGGACGTGGAACGTCACCTCGCTAGCGGGGAAAGAGCCGGAGCTGGTGCAGGAGGTGGAGCGATACCAGCTAGAAATAGTTGGACTCACCTCCACACACAGCGTTGGCTCTGGAACCAAGCTCCTGGAGAGGGGTTGGACTTTGTCCTTTTCCGGAGTTGCCCAGGGTGAGAGGCGCCGGGCGGGAGTGGGGATACTCACGAGCCCCCGGCTGAGCGCCGCTGTGTTGGAGTTCTCCCCGGAGAGCGAGAGGGTCGCCTCCATGCGCCTTCGGGTTGCGGGGAGCAAGGCTCTGACTGTGGTTTGTGCTTATGCACCAAACAGCAGTTCAGAGTATCCGGCCTTCTTGGAGTCGGTGGGAGGGGTCCTGGAAAGGGCGCCGCCTACCGACTCCATAGTTCTCCTGGGGGACTTCAACGCTCACGTGGGCGATGACGGAGAAGCCTGGCGGGGGGTGATTGGGAGGAACGGCTTGCCCGATCTGAACCCGAATGGTGTTTCGTTATTGGACTTCTGTGCTTGCCATGGTTTGGCCATAACGAACACTATGTTCGAACATAAGGTGGCTCATAAGTGTACCTGGTACCAGAACACCTTAGGCCGGAGATCAATGATCGACTTTGTAATCGTATCATTTGATCTGCGGCCGTATGTCTTGGACACTCGGGTGAAGAGAGGAGCAGAGCTGTCAACTGATCACCACCTGGTGGTGAGTTGGATCAGATGGCAGGGGAACCAGTTGGAAAGACCCGGCAAACCCAAACGTGTAGTGAGGGTGAACTGGGAACGTCTGGCGGAGGACCCTGTCCGGGAGGTCTTTAACTCCCACCTCCGGAAGAACTTCTCACACATCCCGAGGGAGGTTGGGGACACGGAATCCGAGTGGACCATGTTCAAAGCCTCTATTGTGGACGCGGCCGCTAGGAGCTGTGGCCGGAAGGTCATCGGTGCCTGTCGTGGTGGCAACCCGAGAACCCGGTGGTGGACACCGGAGGTGAGGGAAGCCGTCAAGCTGAAGAAGGAGACCTTCAAGGCCTGGTTGGCCCAGGGGTCTCCTGAAGCAGCTGACAGGTACCGGCAGGCCAGAAGGGCTGCAGCAGCAGTGGTCGCGAATGCTAAAACTCGGGCATGGGAGGAGTTCGGGGAGGCCATGGAGAAGGACTTTCGGTTGGCCTCAAGGAGGTTCTGGCAAACCATCCGACGGCTCAGGAAGGGAAAGCAGGGCTTACCCCAGGCTGTTCTCAGCAGGGGGGGGGGAACTGCTAACCCGGATGGAGGACATCGTCGGGCGGTGGAAAGAGCACTTTGAGGAACTCCTAAACCCGACCAACATGTCCTCTGCAGAGGAGGCAGCGCCTGAGGACCTAGGGGGAGGCTCACTCATATCCCTGGCAGAGGTCGCTGAGGTAGTCAAAAGCTCCTTGGTGGCAAGGCGCCGGGGGTGGATGAGATCCGCCCTGAGATGCTGAAGGCGCTGGACATGGTTGGGCTGTCCTGGCTGACACGCCTCTTCAATGTCGCATGGGGGTCGGGATCAGTGCCCATGGAATGGCAGACCGGGGTGGTGGTTCCCATCTTCAAAAAGGGGGACCGGAGAGTGTGCTCGAATTACCGGGGTATCACACTACTCAGCCTCCCGGGGAAGGCTTATGCCAGGGTGCTGGAAAGGAGGCTCCGACCGCTTGTCGAACCTCAGATTCAAGAGGAGCAGTGCGGATTCCGTCCCGGCCGTGGAACAGTGGACCAGCTCTTTACCCTCGCAAGACTACTGGAGGGGTTCTGGGAGTTTGCCCAACCAGTCTACATGTGCTTTGTGGACTTGGAGAAGGCTTTCGACCGGGTCCCTCGGGGGGTCTTGTGGGGGGTGCTGCGGGAGTATGGGGTGCCGGACCCGTTACAACGGGCGATCCGGTCTCTGTACGGCTGCAGTAGGAGCTGTGTCCGCATTCTCGGCAATAAGTCAGACACGTTCCCGGTGGGTGTTGGCCTCCGCCAGGGCTTTGTCACAACTGACTCATGCTTTCTCATCCTGTCCACATTCCATTTCAGGTCAACTATAAAGTGGTCTTTTACAATGTTGACATGATACAATGCTACTTGCATGTCATTACGGTACACTAAAATTAGTAGTAGGTGTACAGTGAGTAATCACAGATCCCCTGAACTACAATATGTCTGCTCGACTATAAAAACAACCATAGTCACAGTGTTCACTTTTTGTTGTGTATCAGACTTCGATTTGTTTCTGTCTTGGACAACACACTTGTCCAGTCACAAAATAAAGAGACCTGGACACAAAGACTTTTTATATATGTTTTATATATAAAATTGAAGCATGGCTCAGGATAGAAACCCTGAAATATTAAATGCAACTGCTTTCATGATAACAAAGACTGTCCCTCTTCTACATTACACACTGAAGACAAAGTTGTGCCATGCATTATACAAATAGTACATTTTTGCTACAATAGCACACTTGCTCATCTCTTTCCATTTCCTTCGATACGCTTGTACACCTGTTTTAGAAGCTTGTGTTAAGATGTTCCTTTGGCCCCCCCGACAATGATTTAGATCCAAAGCACATATGTTTGTACAAGTCCAACCTGAGCAGATCTAATCAGCCACAAAAGACATGTCTTTGATTTAAGCAAATGTTTCATAATCCATTATATGCTGTTGATTATATGTCTTTGTAATGTGGAATCACTTGTAACTGTAGTTAAATAAATGTAGTGCAATATACAAATGTAGTTGTGTAGAAGTATAAAGTGGAAGAAAATGTTGGCTAAATGTAATGCAAATACTCAATTACCTAAAAACTGTAGTACTTTAGCCTATACTTAGTTGCTTACCACTGGTTTCCCCCAAAACAGCAACATATAAAGGCATGTTGATAAGTATTTCGGATGGTACGGAATAATGTGAGGTAAACTATACTATAATTTGATGATAGCCTAATTTTATTAATAAACGTTGGCTTCAAAATACCAAAATATTATATTATCAAACGGGCCATGCTGAGGTAAGTGTGCGTGCGCCCATCCGCCAGCTGAACCGTCCTGTGTGAGTGACAGCTGGGAAGCCTCCGCCCAGAACAGCGACAGCACAGGCGTGCTGCCCACAGCCTCCACCCGCTACCAGGAGCTGCAGGAATGACCGACAATATCCCTCTCCAGCCCGTGAGGCGGCCGAAAAGGCAAGACAGTAAACACAGAAATGGGTAAGGGGGCTAAACGGCACAGAAAACAGTAAGAGGAAACCAGTTGGTTAACGTGTTTTGTCCGTCGGCTTCTGCTGATATCAGAGTAGCCGTTAAATTGTTTACAAGAGCGCGTCGACATTGTCTCTATAACTAGCTTAGCAGTGGCGGAGGGGGAGCAGTCAGGGCAACAATAAACAGCGTCTAACAGACGAATACGCGTTACTTTAAACATTATGTGGCAATTCACAGTAGCTTTATAGCAGCTAATGTTAGCAGTAGCGTCCAGGAG